TGGTGCTGGAACCGGCACAGCTCTGTGACAGGAGATCAAAGGGAGTTCAGTATACAAACTCCCTTTGATCTCCTCTCATTCCCCAAATGCAGGAAGTGATGTATATTACATCACTTCCTGCATTCAGTGTCACTCTCCAGCTAGAGAAGCTGATGAAGCCGATCACTGCTTCATCAGCTTCTTTGGGGGTCCCTAGGTGACATTAGGGGTCTTGGAGACCCCTGATGTCTCCACAAAGAGTACCTGTCATGTAAATTGGCTATCCCATAGGGGGCTTCTTAGCCCCCCCATGTAATAGCAATAAAGTTGTGTATAAAAAAAAAAAAAGTAATACAAAAATTAAAGAATCATAAAAATAAAGCATAATTTTTTTTTTTAAAAGAACACATTTTTTTAAGCCCCCCCCCCCCCACATACACACGCAGATATGCGTCGAGTGCGCCTACGTGCGAAACAGATTGTGCATATTGTGCCGCACATGTTACATATCGCCGCAAACGGAGTGAGAGCAATCATTTTAGAGCCATTAATCAGTGATAACACTAAACTGATGAGCAGTAAAAGCATTTTAATCGTCGCCTATGGGTCTATGGGTGTTTTTTGCGATTTTGTGGGTGCACGCAATTTTAAGGCTTGACATGTTTGGTGTCTATTTACCCGACGTGACCCCGACTTTTATGTTTTACTAAAAATATGGGTAAGAATAAAATGTTTTATAACATAGGGAAACTTTTTTTTTACCATTTATGGTACTTTTTTCATTATATGGTAAAAAATTAAATAACCCTCGTAGGGTCACAAAAGAATGCTCCATCTGTCCTCAAAATGTTTTAGCATAAATTGCAAGGCTATAGTCCGGTCATGCTGACTGGTGACATTTTTGACTGACTGGTAAGACACCGTCAAATTTTCCAAGATATATATATATCCATCCTTCGTTTAAAATAAAATACACGTTTACTTTAGAATAAAACTGCATGCACAATGTTTTGCAATCGCACTGCACTGGAACGCACGGCATTGTGGTATCGTGCCTTCCATCACACTGTGGGTGGGAGGTGCGTTTTAGGTGCCATTGAAATGAATAGCACTGCAACGCACCTCCCACAGCAGAATTTGTCAGGCCGACACCAAAAATGACTTTCCCACCTTTTATAATTTTCTTTATTTTTTTTAAGTTGTATTGTAAGCACATGGCGTTTGAATAGCTTCAGCCAGGGCAGGACAGCTACCAGTGGCAAGATTCCACAGACGGAAGCTGAATGTAACGACTCCCACTTGCTGCAGAGATGTGGAGAGGAACCCTGTGATTTCATCATGAGTAACACTTCCAATTATCTTCATAAAGAAGCAATGTAATCGCACAAATCTTTTTAATGTTTTTAAAGGGGCTGGAGAATGTTTCTAAAAGATTTTTTTTATTCACCTGGAGTGAAACCTTTTTTTAGCTATAGTTATTTTTTTTGGTCACAGGAGGACATTTACAAATTCACGCTATTGCAGCCTGCCTGCTATTTGCTGACCGCACAGAGCAACACTGCAGCTGGGAAAGATACTGACATTGTGTGTCAGCTGGCTCCCTAGACTGAACAGAAGAGAATATGTCCTTCAGAAGTACTGGAACTGAACAAAGAACAAGAGAACCATGTCCTGGAAGCAGTAGAAAATCCACTGCAGTGCAGGACCAGAAGGGGCAAGATAAAGGAAGCGCTGATGCATTGGGACATTTTCCAGAAGGAAGAGCCAAGACAGACCTACAGCATTCACCATGGGACACCCCACATGAGGGGATGCAGGGCCCCCGCATGAGGAGAAGCAACTGGTCCCCTCCGAGGGCCTATGCCAATCAGTGAAGTCCAACAGGCACGTATCAAAGCCAAACAGGTTGCATGACAGGGGAATAAAATTGGGAATATGGACATGGCCGCAGGCTGAACTGACACATGCAATGCAGAACGGATCATATAAAAAAAAGATCTGAAACAGTCTTGGAAGCACAGAAGTAATAGCAAGGATCCAAGGAGACTTCAGAGGCTGTCCACACACATATCCAACCATCCCAGTCTCACAGATGATTCTAGACATTCGGCCCAATCCCCGTAACCGTCACAGGTATAACCCATAGCTGGGCCTCCCTGCTTACCCTCCTTTTTTGACATCTGCGCCGGTCAAAGCGCCCGCTCACCCCCGCGATCTTGTGCCACAAGGACCGGAGGATTACCCCCTGCAAGCTGACTGGGAACAGGAGACTGGCAAGGTGATTATCAGAATGATATGCAGGATTTCTGTGGAGAGCTCGTTCCAGTGCGACTGTCTACATGCGGCTGCTGGCCACGCCCCCTCACTGTTGCTACTTTAGAAACATTTAAGACAGTGCCAGTTCCACTTTAAAATGACTAATGATTTTCTAGTTGTTACAGATCCATCCACATTATGTCATGCATCAAATGACCACCACCACACCAAGTATCTTTAAAAATACAAGTTTTATATTTCACAAAGATTATAAGTGAAGTGAAGCATCAACTGCAATTAAAGATGCCCCTCTTTCTTAAAGGAGAACTATGAGGTGAGTGCTTTTCACTCACCTCATAGTTCTAAGCCGACCTGTGACAATGAGACTGTCACAGGTCGGCTCAGTAGATCGGGAAGTGAGCGAATACATACCGGTGTTCGATCACCTCCCGATCCTGTCATGGCTCTCTGCCATGACAGGCGAGGGGCTGGATTCCCCCCTCCCCACTCCGATAGAGCTGACTGGCAGAACGGACGGGGGAGGGTACAGTTGGCTCTGCCTCTAGATAGGCAGAGCCAGCTGTCAGTCACGCAGCTGGGCGGATCCAGACATAATTGTCAGGATCCGCTTCTGCGTCTCAGTATACCGGGAGCTGTAGCTAGAGCTGACTGGTGGAACGGACGGGGGAGGGTACAGTTGGCTCTGCCTCTAGATAGGCAGAGCAAGCTGTCACTCATGCAGCTGGTCGGATCCAGACATAATTGTCGGGATCCGCTTCAGCTGCTGGGACTCTGTATACCGCAAGCTGTAGCTCGCAGTATACTGAGCTTAAGGTGACGTGAGGATGCTTGTTTGTGTCCTCCCGTTACCCTAAGGAGAACTATGGGGAAAAGCCCTAACCCCATAGTTCTCCTTTAACCAGTTGACATCCGCGGTGTTAAACCCCCTTCCCATCCAGGCCATTTTTCAGTATTCAGCGCTGCGGTACTTTGACTGACATTTATTCCGTCATGCAGCGTCTAAAGAGAAGGCATAACCTCTTTGGTTCAATGAGCCATATAATGCCAGTATTTGTCTTGAGTGATGTTTTCCACCACAGAAGTACCAAATTGGCTGCACTGACAGCACACCTGTCCAAGAGCAGAGAGAAGCACAGATAACTTGACTCATTTTTTATGTTATTTCAATGTTTTAGTACTTACCCCTTGGAGACACCAGTGCGATCAGTAATTATTTTCACCTCTTTTACTGCACCAAACTTGGAAAAAAAGTCTTTAATTTCATGGTGATCAATCTAAAAAGAGAAAGATCAAAACATGCAGAAGTTACTAGAGGCATACTATCCTGGTTATAAGATGCATTTTCTCAGATATTGTGGAAATACCCAACATGTGAGATGAGTCCACTTCACCACCAAGCACCAAACTGCCAGTACACACTAAAACTTACTTGCAGTGAAAGCACCCAACCAAAACTTGAAACTTTCATACCCTTTTTATGGGTTTATTTTTTTATGGTGTACAGGTATTGTTGCAAAAAATAGATGTAAAGTGCATTCAGAGAAGCTGCTTCCAAGAGGTCTACTTTGCTGTCCAACACCTTAACCAAAGTGTTCTAAACATGCAAACTGATAGTCTGATGCAAGAGTGTAGCATCAAGCCCATAGCCCCTCACACACGTGACAACCATCAGGTTTGCACAGCCCACAATCTGCTGGTCCTTCCCTGCATCTGTAAAATCACAGACTTTGGTCAGTTAGCAAGTGTCTGTGATAATAAGGTCAAAACCAGGACTGGGCACAGTGGTGCCAGTAACAGCAAACATTACCTTTTCTGTGGGGTCCTTTTAAGGTGCATCCTCCACCGAATTAGTTCAAGCAAGATATAGGGGCGAACACGGCACAAGATATGCGGAAGGGGAAGG